TATTTGTTTATTGCTTAGACTTTGAAAAATTTCGATGAGTAGCCTTCAGTAAAATCCTTACTTTTCTTGAACGAAAATAGTTATCGACCTCGGCCATGTCTTCTTTGATAAATTAGAAGTTAGGCTATCTTTTCATTATATTACAGTTAGGAAAGCATATTGCTCTCGAACTATCTATTCTTACGTTCTTTCATTGCTGCTCTATCTAACGATGAGGTGGAGATGGGATAACTATGTACAACTCGAGTTTCTGGTATCGCAAAGATCAGCAAGATTGGAGTCCTTTTTTAATGTAAATGTTTTGAGAATTGGTCAGGCAAAGACTTCGCAATAAGTCTATACTCATATTGATTATTGTGATTTGCCATGTCACTCACTTGAAGATAGGAAATACAATTAATAGTTTTTGATTCTAGTTTCATATCTGTCTAGTTTGTAAATATATAAAATTATCTCAAAATCATAAATATTAAATTCAACAGTAATTCAAATTTTAAAATTCTTTTTTCAGGTAAATCAAGTTTATTACCAGCTCTCTTGATTGCTGAAGGTTATGAAAAAGTCATTGTTACTCAACCTCGTCGATTACCTTGTACAGCAATTTGTAACCGTGTTAATGAAACTATGACAAAAAACAGAGATAGATTTACAATTGCTGGATGGGCTGTTAGTGGTGCTGAAGACAATGTCACTGCTCAAATTTTATATTTAACAGATGGCTTATTAAAAGAACGTCTATTACATGATGAAAGTTTTATTAGAAACCCAAATAATAATAATAAGCCTATTGTATATTTTCTCGATGAAGTTCATGAAAGATCTGTGAATATTGATCTTTGTTTAGCATTATTTGCTCGTCTTCTTACAGAAAAACCTGATCTTAAATCAAAAGTCAAAATAATTATTTCATCGGCTACATTAGACTCAACAGTACCTAAATTGTTTCGCCAAATACCTCAATTAAAATTTGATGAATTTCACATGCCAAACTTAGGAACATTATATACTGTAACTAAAATTGAACGACCTAATCAAAATATATTAGACTTAGTACAAGAGTTATGTAAAACAAAACAAAGATATGATCAAATATTATGTTTTGTTAGTAGTGTAGCAGAAGTAAATCAATGTTGTCGTCTCTTGCAAGAAATTAGTCATGGAACAATAATTGCTTTTCCATTAATTCAATCTCAATCAGCAGTTGATCAACAAAATAATATTGAACAAGGAAGTATTTTCTTTTCAACA